TAGTAGCTCGGTTTGTTGTCCACGTGGGACAGCTGGTGCCTCAGTTAGCTCAGCTGGTGGTCCTCGGAGCTCAGCTGGTGGCCCTCGTAGCGCAGCAGAAGGTCCTCGCGGTCCTGCTCGCGGCTTTCGGACCTCAGTTCGCGGCCCTCGTTGCTCAGCTTGTGGTTCTCGTGGCTCTGCTGGTGGCTCTCGTAGCACGGCAGGTGGGTCTTGAAGCTCTTCTGGTGGCTGCTGTACCTGCGCCTACGGATCTCGGCCCTCATAGCGCAGTTTGTGGCCCTCGCAACTCACCAAGTGGCTTTCGTAGCTCGGCAAGTAGGTATTGAACCTCTGCTGGTGACTCTCGTAGCTGTGCGTGTGGTCCTCCAGTTCAGCCTGTTGCCCCCGCAGGTCGTCTGGTGGCCCTGTTAGCTCTGCTGGTGGCTGTAGCAGGTCGGGTTGAAGCGCCCGTGGGGGCACGCTCACTTCGTAGTCCCCGAAGTCCAAATCGGTGTCGTCGCCCGCCACGACGCAATGTTCCACCTGCTGGGCGTCCATGTAGTCCTGGCGGTTGTCGTGGCGTTGTGCCCCGTCGTAGTCCTGGAAGCCGGAATAGTCCTGGGGGTCGTAGGGTATAGGTCGCTATCGAAAAGATTGTCGTGGTCGCACTCGTCGTAAGCGGCACGGCCGTAATCGTACTCGTCGTCGGTGGCGCGGCCGTTGTCCACCAGTACCTCCCAGACAATGTACTTAGTGACCTCTACGGGCTGCTCGGTGGCGTCGTCCCTGGTGCTGGTCTTGCTTGCGCAATGGTGGTAGTACTCGTCCTCGGGCTGCCCGTTACGCAGTTCGTTCTCGGGCTTCGGTTGCCTGTTACGAGGCTCGTTCTCGCTATTGGGCTGAAATCGTAACAATGACAATGACAATGCTGTCGTCGGGCCGAGGCTGTATCACATGCCAGACGTTGTACCCCGCTCATTATTGGGCGGGGCGTGTTCGCGCCCATGCATCTCTATGCGTGCATGGTCTCGGCATCCTTGCCGGTACGACTTCACGGTGGGTAAGTCTCGCCGCCTTGTGGTCAACGGCTGGTGGTTGATGTTGTAGTCGCGGCAATCCGTGGCTTCTAATGGTCTGGAGGTAACTCCAATCGAAATTGATCATGTTCGCGTGGGTCTTGATGAATATAACGCGGATCTTGGTGATGATCTTGGCGAGCACATCTCACGGCGCGCCACCCCCGCAGGGTCCAGAATGGCGCTCCTCCTCCTCCTCAACCTCCTCCTCATTCTCTGCCTCCTCCTCGTCATCATCATCATCATTATCATCATGACCGTCACCATCACAAATCAGCACCACCACCACCACCACCACCACCACCATCATCATCATCAGAATCATCATCATCATCATCATCATCATCATCATCATCATCATCATCATCAGCAGCAGCAGCAGCATCAGCATCATCATCATCATCACCATAATAATCATTTGCATCAGCATCGTAATCATCATCGCCATCGTCGCCATGATGATCAATGATGATGATCATCATCATCATCATCATCATCATCATCATCATCATCACCATCATCATCATCAGATTCATCATCAGCAGAATCAGCATCGTCGTCGCCACCATCATCATACTCATGAGCATCGTCACCATCGCGAATCAGCATCATCATACGATTCCTCCTCATCATCATCATCAGCATCATCGTCAGCATCAGCATCAGCATCATTAGCATCATCACCAGCATCATCATCATCAGCCTCATCACCATCAGCACCAGTATCCTCATCATCGTCGTCGTCGACGTCGTCGTCGTCATCGTCATCATCATCATCATCATCATCATCATCATCATCATCATCATCACCATCATCGCCATCGTCATCATCATCATCAGCATCATCATCAACCTTATCAGCATCGTCATTATCATCACCAGCATCATCGTCATGTTCATAATCATCATCACCCCAGACACCATCACCAAGATCATCATCCTCCTCCTAATCGTCGTCATCATCAGCAGCAGCATCATCAGCATCATCATCACCACAATCACCGGCCAGCCAGCCAGCCACACCTCCCCCTCCTCCCCCCCCTCCCCTTCCCGCTCCCCCCACTCCTCTCCCTCCCCTCCCTCCTTGCGCCGCTGGGAACTCGAGGGGTGAGCTCGGTAGGCCCAGCAGCTCGAGGCCGTCGCGCACCCCGGGCAGCGTCTGCAGAGACGGCCGGCGACGACGACGACGACGACGACGACGACGACGACGACGACGACGACGACGGACGACGGACGACGGACGACGACGACGACAGACGACGGACGACGGACGACGGACGACGGACGACAGACGCTTGACGACAGCCGACGGCGACGACGGCAACGGCGACGACGACAGCGGCGACGGCGGCGACGGCAGACGGCAGACGACGGACGGCGGCGGCGAGTGCAGAGCACGGCGCTGGCGATGGGGGGCGGCGGCGGCGGCCGCGACGAGAGCGCGGCGGCAGGAGCGGCGACGGCGACGAGGGAGGGGCGGAGTGGCGGGAGGCGAAGGGGGGGAGGCGAAGGGGGGGGAGGCGAAGGGGGGGGAGGGGGAGGGGGGAGGGGGTGTCGAGGATCGAGTTTTCCGACGTTGCCGAGGAAGCAAAACCACTGGCGGCTTTGGTGCTCAGCTTTGCTGAGGAGCACCCCGATGCGAGGGGATACGAAAGTCGCATGGCTTAGAAAGCCCTCGATTCTGCTGGGACCCGTACCTGCCGAAACCCTTACAGAACCAGACTTCGTCCGCAAACTGCAATCGCATCGAATGCGCCGGATCGACAAGGAGCCGCCCCCCCGAGGCAAAGCTGCATACTTACTATCAGGGGTCACGGGCTGGAAGGGAGAGAGGAGCAGGGGGAGCAGGAGAGAGGGAGGAGGAGGAGCAGAGCGGCAGCAGCAGCATGCACACGAGGGGCCGCATCGGGCCCCAAGAGAGGCCGCGGATGACCGAAATCACTGAAAATTCCTGCTCGCGCTTCATGCTGCTTACGCTCCGCGCTGCTCAATCTGCATGTTTCACTGTCGGGGTGCCCCGTCTGTCCTATCGCGGAGCTATACGCGTCGAGTCCGCGTCGAGTCCGCGTCGAATCCACGTCGAATCGACGAACCCACTTCGAATCCGCAACGAATCCACGTCGAACAGACGTCGGACACCAGAAAAAGAGGCCGCCGCTGACGGCACAGGCGAGGCCCCTCGAAGCTGCAACGCAGCAGTCTGCGATGGCTGCGCGAAGGCTCCGAGGAGCCCCTGAAAACGCCCCGCGCCGGCCGCGAGAAGTCCCCCGAGACGGCCCAAGACTCGCAGGCCTAGAGATTGACACCAACACCACTTTCGGCGGTGTGCCTCCACCGGGGGAAGAAGATCCCGATCTCGGTGATGGTGGTAATATTTTGGCTTCCAAGGTGGCCGAACTATTACCACCAACAATGAAAATCTAGGATCATCTTCCCCCTGTGGAGGCAACCCTTTGTCTTGGTGTTGGTGCCAATTTCCAGGCCTCCGAAAGACTGCCACGGGACGGGCCTCGAAAAGAAGGCCACCCCGGACTGCCCCTGCCAGCCTCGAGGCCCCTCCGGGAACGGCCCCGGGGCCTCTCCCGTGGACGTGCAGCGCCCAGGAGAGCCGGAGCTCCGAAGAGCCTGAGAGGCGCCCAGCAGAGACCCCAGGCAGACCTCAGGAGCGATGAGCACATCTACAGTCATCGGCCTGACCTAAGGAAAGATAAATAAGGAACGAAGCCCCTTATTTCCAGGGAATAACGCATAGGGAACGATACATAAAGCATGCGAACCTAAGGAACGACCGAGCCCCTTTTGACTAGTAAGTGTTCCTTATTCAGGCCGCTCACTGTACCCTCGAGGTCTGGATTCCAAGGCGCGATCCCACAGATACGCGATCCCATGGATACATTCCGAGCGAGGCGTCCGCGCAAAACCGCCCCGTATCCATTGGGGTCGCGGCCGAGGAGTCCCGACCGCGATCCCGTGGATATGCATGTGTCTCCCGCCCCCGAAGACCCCCCCCAACCCCAAAAAAGATGCCAAGAAGATGCAAGTCTGCCCTGTGCTCGCAGGCACGGCAGTGGCGCAGCAGAGAGAATCCCTGGAGTTGGGCGAAAGAAGTAGGGTCCGCATGCAGTTCCACCTCCATTTCGGCGCACCCCTCATACGCTTCGTGGCCCCATAGGGTGCTCCGCCGAAGGCCTCAGTGGCAGGGTTCGCATGCAGTTCCACCTCCATTTCGGCGCACCCCTCACACGCTTCGAGGCCCCATAGGGAGCTCCACCGAAGGCCCCAGCGGCAGGGTCCGCATGCACTTCCACCCCCATTTCGGCACACCCCTCACACGTTTCGTGGCCCCATAGGGTGTTCCACCCAGGGCCCCAGTGGCAGGGTCGGCGTGCAGATCCACCTCCATTTCGGCGCACCCCTCATACTGCTCAACCCAAGGCCCCAGTGGCAGGGTCCGCATGCAGTTCCACCTCCATTTCGGCGCACCCCTCGCACGTTCGAGGCCCCACAGGGTGCTCCACCGAAGGCCTCAGTGGCAGGGTCCGCATGCAGTTCCCCTTCCAATCCGGCGCACCCCTCACACGTTTCGTGGCCCCATGGGGTGCTCCACCAAAGGCCCCAATGGCCGCGCCCGCATGCAGCTCCACCCTCCATTTGGGCGCACCCATCACACGTCTCGTGGCCCCATGAGGAGCTCCGCCAAAGGCCCTAGAGGCAGCGCCCGCACGCGGTTCCACCTTGCATTTCGGCGCACCCTTCACACGCTTCGTGGCCTCACTTGGGGCTTCACCGACAGCTCTGGTGGCAGCGTCCGCATGGCGTACCCGTGCCAATTTTGGCACACCCGTCACACGCGTCCTGGCCCCAGAGAGAGGTTCACCGAGGACGATGCCCACAATTGCGTTACTCACAACTGCACATGGTTGGGTCCTTCGCCCGGATATTTTTTTCCGAGCGAGCTGACCGCCGGAAAGCCCTCACAGAAGCGCAAATCAGAAGCCGCGGATCCACTGTCAGATAAGCGACGCACAGAAGGGGGGGGGGACTGGCGTGGCAGACATGGTCAGACCGGCAGCGCCACAAAGGAATCAAACCTTTGGATTGCGGAAGAGCAGGAGGGCATGGACGGGGGTGCGTTCCAAAAAGTTAAAGAATCTGCGACAGATGAGAAGTGCTCCAGCTTGGCGATAAGGAACAGCCACTTGACCCAAGCGGCCTGGGTTCGAAAGTTCGAAAAGCCCGCCCGCATGCGCGTAGCAGGCAAGGCTGATTCTGCAGAGTGTTCAGGGTGCTCCAAATGGCGGTGCCCGCTGCAGACTAGCTCCCCAAAAAAACGGGGTGCCAGCTCTTCTGGGTCAGGCTCAGGACACGATCGATCCTGATGTAAAAGTGCCTGCCCTTCAGAACCAGCGAGTTAAAAAGCTAGCCCACTTAGCAACGGACTCGGCCACCTGGCATACACCACGGAGGCATATTGTGCATTGCAGTACCTATTTAACCAACCCACCATACACTGTGTTGCTGATGATGGGTAAGATGAAGAGTATGGTGATGGCAATGATGGTGATGACCCCCACTCCTAAGGGCATCTGAAAAAGTTGTGGCAGTCAGCTGCCTTTGAGTGTCGAAATGGCTCACTGACCATCTCGCTGTTCGTCTGCATCCTCTACGCCTCTTTTGAAACTGGCACCTCGGCATGCAAGCCGCTGTGCTCGGCAGGAAAATTGATCACCAAGAGGCAGGGAGGAACGCCTATTCGGCGATGCAGCTCAAACAGAGCATGGAAGGACACCACATCGAACGAGGTTTGGGCCGAGGAATTCGGTGGCCAGCGCCGCAGCGCTGAGAGCTCCTTGCCGTCGTGAGTAAAGCGAGATCATTGCAGCGTGCGGGCAAAATATCCACCGGCTGCGGTACTGAGAGAGGTCTACATCGCCAGCACGGGCGCACGTCCCAGGCGAGACGAAGCCGCCTTACTCTTCCGACTCCGCCTTTCCCTCCGAGTCCGCCTTCTCGTCCGAGTAGGCCTTCTCCTCCGAGTCTCCCTTCCCCTCCGAGTCCGCCTTCTCCGACGAGTCGTCCGCCTTCTCCGACGAGTCCGCCTTCTCCGACGAGTCCGCCTTCTCCGACGAGTCCGCCTTCTCGACCGAGTCCGCCTTCTCCGACGAGTCCGCCTTCTCCGAAGTGTCCCCCTTCTCCTCGGAGTCCGCCTGCGACGAGCCCATGCCCCGGGAGGAGGCGGCCCCGGTGGTGGCCGCCGAGGTGCCTGGGGAAACCAACAGGTACCCATGCCGCTACAGTCGGACTTGATTGGACAGGACGCGCGAGAGGACACAAGGCCCTTCCGAGGGCCACATTGCCATAGGAACGTAGGGGGCACTGGTCGCGAGACACAGGACACGAGGGTATACCCTTGATCTGGCGGGGTCGACCTGCTGATCCTGGCCGCCTGTACTCCCCGGACCTCCCGAGGGGTGCATTCTGACCAGGACTTCGAGGCGAGTCCGGCGGTGGCAACGAGGGCCTCCCGGGAAGCCCAGGGAGGGGAAAGCCGGGGAAGGGCAGCGGTATGGGCACAGTCGGACCTAGGACGGAAGAACATCCTTCAAGATCATGAGACCCTCCGCCGTTCAAACTGAAGGGAGTACATTCCAGGGTGCCCTCCCCCATGATGCACCAAATAACATAAAAAAAACACGAGGATCATTAGGAAACCCTCCCCCAACCGACCTCGATATCTTACACTTCGGTCCGACTGCACCCTTTCCTCCTCCGAGCACCCGCGTCGCTCGACTGGCGGTCCTTCACGGAGGCGCCCTCGAGGTCCTGCCCCTCGCAGGAGGAGCGCTCGAAGCGCTGCACGGAGATCGTCACGCCCTCCACGTCCTGCTCGGAGCCCACCGCCAGGATCGCCTGCGTCGCCGCCGGGGTGGACATGTGGACGAAGCCGAGGCTGCTGGGCCGTTGCCGCAGTGCCTTGTCGCTGCCGCCCTGGGCCACCTGGAAGAATGAAGAGCTGAGCAACCCCCTGCTCCTCCTCCTCCTCCTCCTCCTCCTCCTCCTCCTCCTCCTCCTCCTCCTCCTCCTCCTCCTCCTCCTCCTCCTCCTCCTCCTCCTCCTCCTCCTGGGCGTTGCGACTTTCTCACACTGGGCGTCGTCGCCCGTGTTTCGATCAGGGGATCGGCTGCAGAATTGCTTTCTACCCCAAGAAAAGTGTTTGTTTTTAACCCAATGTTCCCCGAGAGAGCTCACGTTTGCACACGTCTTTCTACTTCGGTCACCGTGGAATGCGCGACCAGCACGCGGACGACCGAGCCGTAGGCGGAGAAGTGCTTCTTCAGCTTGCGCCCGACCTTGAAGCCCAGCTTGTTGATGCGCCGCACGATCATCAGGCAGCTGGGGTCCTCGGTGGAGAGCAGCTGCAGGCAAGACGAGAGGGTGTACGCGGGTCGCCTCTCGCCCTCAGGCTGCATCTCCCTCAGGGAGTCCTCGGTCGTCTCGCTCATGGGCGGCCTTTGGGGAGGACCAAGAGGCTCATGAAAAAACGACACACGCTCAAACCCATGGGGAGGAGGAACGGGGAAGGGCAAGGCGACGAAGGCGCTCTACAGGTATGGGTGCGATGTGTCGGACCCCGAGGGGGGCTCCCGTTCAAGCGGGGACCCTTATCCGACAAGACACGCCCATAGCCCCCCCCTGGAATTCCACCCCGACAAACTGGGGGTCGCATGGGTCTGGGCGCTGGCTGTCGGCTCATGAAAGGTACCCATGCCGCTACACCCCGGACCTCTCCCAGGGTGCGTCCTGACCAGGATTTCGAGGCGAATGCAGCGGTGGCGACGAGGGCCTCCCAAGAGGCCCCAAAAGGGCGAAAAATTAGGGACCAGGATAAGTATCGGCATCTGGGGGGTCAAAAAAACACCGATACCATTTCTCCCCGGACCTCTCCCAAGGTGCGTTCTGACCAGAATGTCGAGGCAAATCCAGCAGTGGCGACGAGGGCCCCGCCAAGGCCCAAAATCCAACGAAAAAGAGACAAAGGTAAATAGCAGTATCTGGGGGGTCGAAAAGATACCGATACCGTTACTCCCTGGATCTCTCCCACGGTGCGTTCTGACCAGAGTGTTGAGGCGAATCCAGCCGTGGCAACGAGAGCCGCCCTGGAGGCCCGTAAACAGATGTAAACGAAGCAAAAGGGCAGCAGCACCGTTATACTTGGATGACCGCGGTGGTTGGCAAGGGGACATGCGGTTACAAGTGAATGTGAAGGTGGGTTATATTTGGCCGAACCTAGCCTGTGAGCGGGTTACGAATGCCCTATGAGGGTTCGGTAACTCTAATGAGTGAGCTCCGCCCGCTTGGCCCAGAAATCTGCCCTCCGCAAGCCGCCAGAAGCTAAGCTAGGTCAGGCCAGAGATCACTCATGAGACAGGCTAGGCCTGAGATCACCTGCGCCAGCATCCACTCAAGCCCCCCCTCAGATCCCCCCTCTCAGCGACCCCCGGTCGTGCCCACGCACCTCTCTTCCTCTCCCGAGAGCCTGGGCGCAGCGCCCTCGGGCCTGCCCGCGTGCGCGGAGCCGGCGCCGCCGCCGCCCCGGGGGGCGGGGCCCTTGCGCTGCGGTGCGCGGTCCCCCCACTGCTGGCCCGGCCCGGGGCGCCGGGCCTGCTGCGACGCGGGCTGGGCCACGGGCTGGTCGGCCTTCTGCCGCAGCTGGGACATGCGCTGCACCAGGTCCCCGGCCTCCTCCGAAGAGCGGAAGGCCCACGCTCTGGAGAAGCACCCCGACGAGTGAAGCAGTGTGGTAAACGCACCCGAGGAAGGAATCGAACAGGACAGGGCTGATCAGTAAACGCCCAGGGCCGCTTGGCAAGCGACTATTATCGGGGTCGGGTTGGTTGTTCCTCCCTGGATTCAGCAGGGGAAGAAGAGGCAGCACAGGCATACAATTTGGGAGCTCCGCGCGGATCTCTTGAGTCGCCACTGGGCCCCCCCTGGGCGGCGCCTCCGGCGCCGCCCCTGGCGCGCGGGTCCAGCGCTGATCCAAAAAGTCCGCGCGGACCTCCCACAACAAACTTCCATGCAGTTCGTTTTGCTTCGATCCTGGCTGCGGGAGGCGGAGCTGGTGCCCGCGGGCTTGGTCGCGCGCAGCTGCCACAGCTGGTACTGGAGGATCTGCTGCTGCTGCGAGATCTGAGCCCTCATGGTCCTGGCGGCGGCCAGGTGCGGCATGTCCATGAAAACGCCCCCCGCGGCGCATGTGCTGGCTATCATCTTGTCCAAAGCCTTCGCCTGCTGGAGGTTCTCGATGCCGCGGTCGAAGATCGTCAGCGCCTCCCTCAGGCCCTCCACGCTTAGGTGCGGTGCCGTGGCGAGCACGGTGTTGACCCACTCGCCGCACTCGCCGGAGCTGCTGCACTCCTGGCAGAAGACCAAAGAAAAACGCCCCCACCCCACCCACCCCAAACACACACACACACACACACACACACACACTCATACACACACACACACACACACACACACACACCGCCATCGCAGGGAGCAGTGGAGCATACCACCCACATACCACACCCGCGCACCACCGCCTCGCTCGCTCACGTGCTCGGTGGCAGCTGCACTGGCCTAGGGTAACAATGCCCAGGCCGTCTCTGCGCATAGAGCTGGCGAGCGGGACAGACTCACCCTTTGAATGGTGGCGCCACCCTCTACGCCAGCAGAAAGCCACACACCCCGTGGCACTCCAGTAGCATTTCTCCCGCAGGAGTGCCTGCCACTCAGCAGAAGGAGGTTTAGCTTTTGGTGGAGGAGTGGGCTGGCTGGTGAAAGGTGGGCGCCCTAGAGGATCAGGTTTCATGGCCAACTGATCTCGGACCCGTTTTTGATTCGCCCACGTTCGACGAGCGCAATCTCTGCCTGCGTTTGTTGCCTAAGCGCTAAGGGAAGCCCGAGACAGCTCCTGGCCCTGTCTCACACGGTTTTGATGGCAATCATTCGGATCCTTGAGGACGTGGAGAGCTCTTGCTCCTGGCCTGCTCTGTACCAAGATGATTTCTCTGGCCAAAAGGGGATGGGGGTCTCCGCCCCGTAGCCCTCATTCACACGTTGGCGCGTGCGCAAGGTAGGCTGCGAAGCCACCTCGTTGCCAAGTCGCAGGCCGACCATCCCAGACCCTACTGGTGGGCTACCTGGGGCCGCGGTAGTGATAAGCTTGCTTGGAGTCAGTCGCTGTCCTCAGAGTGGGCGTGCGCCCGTGGGTTTCACAATGGGCGTGTACGTTTGATGTGCAAAAGGCTTTTGAATACATCAGGCACTCTGAACTGATGGCCGCTGCAGTTTCGACGGGGGCCCCGGTCCGCCAATTGAAGCTCTTCGTCGAGCTTTGCCGTGTGCCTAGGGTGTTCAACCCTCATCATGCGGTGTCGGATACAGTTTCTACTGTCCAAGCTGTGCTGCCTGGTTGCAACTTTGCGACGCACATGTTGCTGATGGTCTTCCTTGAACCCGTGGATGCCTTGATGAACAGGTTCCACATTACCAATCGTAAAGTTATGGTAGACGACTTTGGGTGGCACCAGGAAGGATGTGAAAGCGAGGTGGTCTCAGAACTAGTGGCGGTTACCAACATGATGCGCGCTGAGCTCGAGAAGATGTTTCTTCCCGTCGCTCGTCGGAAGTCGAAGGTCGTCGCGTATTCCGCGTCGTTAGTAATTTCCCTGTGCGCTCAGGCTGCGTGGTGCCCAAACAGGAAGCTCGATCCTTTAATTCAGAGCGACCTACACCACCGCGCACAGCGCGGGAGAAGCAGCTTGCTGGGTGCGCTCAGGGCGTGGCGAGGAGGCGGACTGGTGCCCAAACGACCCCCCGTGACTGCATTGGCCCCAGCGCTCCTCGGGCATGTAGGCTGGCAGCGCGCCGGGGAGCTCGCGCGAGGCACTCCGCATCTGGGCCGCCACGCGCGGGATGGCCTGCAGCCGGGGGCGGCCGCCGTCGTCCGCGTCGTCGTCGTCCTCGATCTCGTCGTCCTCGTCGTCGTCATCGTCCTCGATCTTACCGTCGTCGTCCTCGTCGATGTCGTCGCCGTAACCGCAGCCGTCGTCCTCGTCGTCGTCGTCGTCGTCGTCGCAGACGCCGCCACCGTCGGTCGCTCGACCCGGGGCAGGGGAGAAGGAGGATAGCCAAGGGGCCAAAAAACGCAAAGGATCCCTAGAGGTGTTCATCCTCCTGCTCCGCCTGCTGCTGCTGCTGCTGTTGCTGTTGCTGCTGCTGCTGCTGCTCCTCATCCTCCTCTTTCTCCTCCTCCTCCTCGAACTACTCCTACTGCTGCTGCTGCTACTACTACTAGTACTAGTACTAGTACTAGAACTAGTACTAGTACTAGCACTCGTACTAGAACTAGTACTAGAACAAATACAAGTACAAGTGCTACTACTACTACTACTACTACTACTACTACTACTACTACTACTACTACTACTACTACTACTACTACTACTACTACTACTACTACTACTAACTACTACTACTACTACTACTACTACTACTACTACTACTACTACTACTACTACTACTACTACTACTACTACTACTACTACTACTACTACTACTACTA